TCTCACCTCCCATGTATGCACCAAAAACCCGGAGGCTCCGATTCGAATGTTCTCAGATAGTGTGATTGCCTGGAGAGAAGAAGCTCGGAAGAACATTATCGCCGTGGTCAAATTCCGCCCATTCAACACCATGGACGAGGAAACGAAGTCTCAATATCAGAAAGTCGCCCACCACCTGATTCAACAGACCAGATTCCAAAACCCAAACAAAATCAACGGTCCAGCATTATTGGGAAAAATGTTCAGTCTTGGTTGGCGCAAGGGATTTGAGAAGGACACGATCATTGGTGTCACGGGCATTGCGGAGAAGGTATCCCGAGACCCTGAAGGATACGAAGAGCTTCAATCACAGGTGGATGATGTTAGTCGCTTCGTTGGCCAACAATTCGAGGCCCTCTCCCGACCTATTTATCAAGAAGTCAAAAGGCAACATAACGCAATTGGGGCCCCAGGGTTAACACCTCTTTTCACCAGTGCCCCAGGGGATTTCACGTGTCATTTATCATACACCTTTGATAATTTCTCAAATAAGCCCCACACGGATCGAGATAGCTCGCCATACACGTTTGTCACATGGCTTCCGATTGACAAAACCACAGGGGACTTAATAGAAGATGATTTGGACGGATACGGCGGTGAATTCGTTTTCCCCAGACATGGATTCGGTATTGACTTTTCTGGATTTAAAGGAGTTGTTGAATGTGCTTGGAGAGCCAGACATATTCACCATCTCACTGTTCCCTCGACAACTCCCGATTCTTCTCCGCATGCTCGACTTGGCTACTCTGTCCAACTCCCGACAAAAACCAAAGAGGTAATCCAAAAAAACCAAAAGGGTCACTATAAGAAAGATCCCAAAAAGAAACACTGGAAAGTTCGTGACATGCGTGTAATCCTCGATAACTCTCAAACTTATCCCAGACCCAAAAAAAGACAACAAAAAGATGACGAACCTTCCTCTGAAAATAATGATGCCAACAAACCTTTGTCAAAACAACCCTCCAAAAAATCTCAAAGACGACAGCCCTCCAACAAACGTCAAAGACGTTAGCTTCTCTGTTACCATTTCTCTTTTATGTGATTGACTTTCCTTTTATCTGTTGTCATCGTGGTCCTCCAATATCCCTAACTTCCTTATTTCTTACAACAAAACTCCTCAAACCAAAAAAAGGCCCTGTTTTCTCTTAACTAACCTCATTTCTCATCATTTCATTTTCCTTTCTTGCTCTATAAACTGACTGTCTATCAATTTTCTTTGTGGTTGTCATCAAAGAAAAGTAATTCATCACATCTGTTTTTTTGTCTTGATCGCACTTTTATTTCCAATATGCAAAGAAACCGTTGAGTTAAGTCATACTAAAACAAGATAATCAGAACGGGAGGCTAGTTGAAAAGTTTTGCAATCCTCTCTATGTCTTCCATCGATTTCCCAGAGTCCAAACACTTCACCAACACCTCCATCTTCTTTGCTTGAGCCTTGGCATTTGATTGGCGATCCAGTTTTTGCAACTCAAAATCTCGATCTTTTGCCTTCTCCTCCTTCTCCATCTCCAACTTTTTATCGTCCAACTTCATCGAGTGATCCCATCGTTTACCTTCCATTTCTTTACTATGCTCGAATTTTCTATCTTCCAATTTCAGACCGTTATCTTCCTTTTCAATCATCCTGTTGTACTTCATCTTTTCAAAGCCAAGATTCTCCCGAGCGACCTCAGATTTTCCTAGAAATCAAGGAGAAAGGAAGAATCGTTAATTTCCCAGGTAGTTAAAAAGTGAGTGGAATGTAAGATGACTGACCAGCATCTCTTTTCATCGCATATTCTTCGTAGGCCAAAAAAGAGTTGGGAACAGCAGAGGGGCGACCATGGCTTTTGGGATTGATATTCTTGGAGTTTGAGGCTCGGCGCTTTCCTTTTTTTGGACTTGGAGCCGGGGTGTCAGAGGAGTCCTCATCGGTATGATCGTCCAAAGCAAGCTCTTCGGGTGTCAAACCAGCGTTCAATCCTGAAGACCTTCTTTTGCGCTTCTTCTTCGCACTCGTTTTCTTCCTTGGGGATATGTACTCAGAATCGCTCAGAGCAGGTGCCTTGCTTGTAGATTGCACACGATTGCTTTTGTTCTTCTTCTTCTTTGGTGATTTCGCCTGGGTCCCCACGGCCTTAGACTTTGAAGCTGGATCTTGGACAGTCTCACCCGATGGAGTGGGTTCCTGGATAAGAACGATGAAGAAAGTCAATATAGTTGTAGTCTTTTTTGCCATCACTCAACAGTGCAACTTACACCTTTTGCCCCAGCCTGGACACCTGCCTCTTCATCCATTGGAACTTGCCCAGTCGGAGCTTCCGTTCTCTGTTTGACAGGCAATATCTTTCAAAATCAGTGAACCGATGACTGACAACAAATGAATCCAATTGACTTACATCACCTGTGTTTTCTTGCTCCAGGGCCACGATATTGACTTGTGAAGTAGCATTCTTCAACAAAGGGTGAATAGCAGTGGACTCAGAACTTTGAGATGAATCGTTCTCATCCATCTCATTTGAGGAATCGGAATTGTTGTCCTCAGAAGATGATTCAGATGAATCGTCTTCATCCTCTGCATCCGCCATAAACAACGGATTGACGTCAGGCCGGTTACCAAAGATTTCGTCCATTTCAGCGTAGAGAGGACACATATTTTCAAGTTTGTCCTCGATCGTTGTGATTCCAGCCTTCCGATAAGCTGGGGTCAGACCAAAGCCAGTTGACATAGATTTCGTATGAGCTTTCTTATACTTGTCCTTGTATGACTTGAAACGATCTTTCATCTGTCGGGGGGTAAGATTGATTTTAGTTGGAGAAACATTTCGGAGGTGAATCGCCATCAACTCGTAACCGTTTATCATCGCCTTTGGTCGTCGTCCAATCGCAGGAGCCTTCCCATCGCCAAAACAGGCAACGTAGTTTTTCTTGTCTCTGAGCCAGTCGATGATGATTTCATAGTCCTCTATTTTTAGATGACCTTGGGATGAACCAAGTTCATCATCGTTCTTCTTTGATCGTGTATATTTTGGAGTGGCCCTCTTCTTCTTTGGAGGGGTTCGAAGTGATTGGAGGGTTGGGAATCTGGAAGCTTTTTTTGGAGGCATCTGTTGGGTGCATGTAGTGGAAAAAGAACAAAATTGGTGAGGCCATTGAAATATACTTTGGTTCAGTTGAAGATAAATACCTTGAACTAATCAATTGATCAGACTTGGTTTGATGACGAGTGATGTGCAGGGGCAAGTTAAGAGGAGATGTTGAAGAAGCTGTGGGCTGAGTGGGGATTGAATCGTGGAGGATTGAGGGAATCGTGGAGGATGGGGGATGGTTGGAATTTGAAATTGGAAATTCAGGAATTTTGGGCTAAAAAAATGGGTTGATTTATGCTATATTTGATACGCCCTGACAAAAGAAGTAGGATATTTGGTCACTGCAAAGGTGGATTTGGTAAGTGTGGATTTCTCAAAACCCGTCAATTAAAAAGTGGTGGATTTCGTTATATTTGATACCCCCTATTTTTGGGTGATGGTTTGTAAAATTATACATTACCCCCATAAAAAATCTAATTTTACAAACCATCTGATTTACAAGACATATGTCTTGTAAAATATAGTTTGTAAAATTACAGCGACCCATAATTAAGGACTCTCAATATTTGTGGATTATAGCATGTTTTTTTCTTGATTAACTCATCTGGATTCACTAAAAGAGATTGAGAAGCCCTGTCCAGTTTGTTTCTTCCTCTCAGTTGTTTATTCGATATGGTTTTGTTATTCATTTTCCACCATGTTTTTACTCTATTTAATGAGTCTAGCTTAAAGCAATAAAAATCATTGGTTCTTTCATTCTTTTCCCGTGAGCCTCTCCCAAAAAAAGAACCTTGTCTTTCTTGGCCCTCATCTCAAACACATTACTTTCCTTCACACATCAGTCCAAAAATTCAACAGTGTGAACAGATATATGTTTTGCAGAGTTGGTTTTAATCAACATTTAAGATGAGATTGCCTTGCAAAAGACTCTCAGAAGTGAAATGAATCCTGAATAAGTAGGATGCATACAAATTAATGCTCACAAGTTCACAACTGCTAGATCCCAATTCTTTAACTATATCTATCCAACCTTACCCAAGCTGTTTGGGTATATTAGCTCTTAGTCTGTTACTGAGAACATCAAAGAGAGTGCTGATCATCTGACTTGAATCACACTCACTAAAAAATAACAGGGCTGTGTGACGTATTGCAGAGTATAGCTATGGTGGTAAACAGCTGGGGGAAAACAAAAATACTAAGGCCCCATTTGGCCACAAATCATGCTATGTGATTTGGATAAGGTTTGGCACAGATTGGGACTGTGCAATATAAAACAATATAAGATGTTTCCAGTATAGCTTATATGGTGGTAAACAACAGGGGAAAAAAATCACTGATAAAAAAACAGGGCTGTGTGATGTAATGCAGAGTATAGCTATGGTGGTAAACAACAGGGAAAGAAAAAAATAAGAAGGCCATAGGTCAGAAACTCTGATGGTTGCAGGTACCAGGCCAGCAAAAAGACAAGAACATGATATGATTGACACAGTTGGGAGAACAAGTTTATAATCATGTTCTTTTTTGAGAACGTTGAAAAGAGTACAATCACCTTTCCAATGATTTGGGATGGTTTGGAGGAGAGGAAAGATACACCACTTTTCCAAAGGGGAAATCACATACATCAATCGGGACCGGTGATAAATGGCAGGGAGCAATGTCGGAATGAAACAAAATGTGAAAAAGATTCACTAGAAATACTAATCAGTCTCAATAACAAAGTCAGGAAAAAAAATATCAAATCAAACAAGAACAACAATCGATACTAGGCTCAAATGAGCCTAGAGCAATCCAACACCTAGCTCAGACCATCTCAAACTACACAACCAGAAATGATGGTTGGGGTCAGTGGGCTGCAAGCCAAACAAGGCAGAGGAAAAATGGTGGACCTACTTAGACTGATGACTGGCTGAGCTTTCCCCGAGCCTGTTGAAAGATATTTAATATTTCACCATAAAGATGTGCGGAGTTCTTTTTTCTGACAGCGGGATCTTGCATGATTTTGGCAAAATCGTGGACACACTGGATGAGAGGCTGAGATTGTTTGTATCGGGCCGTGAAATCGTTTGTAAGTCTGCTGGGTTCACTGAGGAGATCTTTCTTGATGGACCCTAAGTTTTCCGGGATCTGCTCATTCCATGATGTCACACTTGTTTGTTTCCTTTCTTTGCGAGGAAAATGGATACAGATCCATATCATAACCCAAAAGAATGATTCCAGATCATCCGCAAAATCGTGCGGATTGCATTTTTGAAGCAAACTGATTGACAGAAAAACTTTTGTGCCGGTTCTTGTGTAGTCTTTATTTGATACATCATAGGGAATAGCCACATCTAGGTCGATCAGGAAGGCTTTTCGATCCGAATCGGCTGTCTGGTTGTCTATCATGAGATTGTTAATCGAGATGTCTCTATGAAGATATCCAGCGTTTAATAAGGCCTGATGCCCTTTAATACAGCCTTCGAGGGCCTCCAACAGCTCAACGGGAGAATTGGCTTCGGAAATGGGTTTCCCCACGTCTTTGAGAACCAACCGTCTATGAACCCGATTGATAAACTGATTTAGCACTTGTGCATCATCGGGCATTTCGTTGATTTGGATTGTTTGGCCGCTTTGGAAATTGGTACCCCCCCGAACGTGAGATTCTATGTCGACTCTTTGCCCGGACACATGGACGTCTTCATGATGATAATACCGGGCCACATGATGTACGTTTTTCTGAGTCACATCGCGAAGCATAAGTCCTTCTTCCCTCCGGTGGTCAGGTTGCCATGAGTCTTTGATCAGAAATTTCTGACGTTCATCTCCAGCGAGATGGGCCTTCCAGCAGGTTGTGCCACGTCCACAGATTCCCGACGCTCGGAAGATGGGGTTTTCGGGTTCGTCTATTACAAATTCTCCGGCCTGGGTTTGGATTCGGATGACAGGACTTTCATCGACAATGAAGGTTGGATCAAAGCCGAGGAGTCGCTTATCGCACGTCAATGACCATGAAATGAGAGTGAAGAACTTTTTGAGGTTTTTTTTGTTCGCTTTGATGTCAAAGAATTCAGAGCCAATTGCTCCGGACCTGTCAAACTGCCAGAGCTGCATCCAGGTTCCGCACAGGGCAAACCCAATGACAAAGATTCGGGTGGGCTGAGCTTTGAAGAGGTGGCAGACGTATTTGGCCAAGGACATGGCAGCCTTTGAGGCATCTGATTTGTTCATCTTGAGCTCGAGAGGGATCATAACATCTTCAATGCGATTTTCGTTTTCCAAGTTCACGGACATGATTGCACCATCCAACTTGCGTATCGCTTCTAGACCCTTCAAAGGAATGGTAGGTTGACTCTTCCAAGTACGAGAATTCCGAATTTGTGGGCTTTGTTTGACGACCTGATCAAAAAAAGAAGTGAACCAATCCAACATAGAGCCCTCCGTTGTGTCTTTCAAGGTTTCTTCATACTTTTCGTCAATAAAGCTTTCGTCGGGTTCCAGGCGCAAAGCAGGATCGAAGGTATGCTGCTGGATGAAACGCTCTACCAAACCTGGGACATTATTGTACATCAATCCCTGCAATTCTTGTCTGAGCCTGGGCATGAAGTGACGAAGCAGGTCGGAAGAATTGGTGAGGCTAGATGTGGTGCCGGTCCTCGGCGGGGTCGGTATGAATGGTAAAGGCGTTGGGGGGCTGCCGAATTCTTCTTCAATGAACTTCAACATTTCTTGATTGGATTTGGCTTTGTCGGCAAGAGTGACGGCGATAAGAGGCTTGAAAGGTTCGAAGCAACCGTCGTGATGAAGAGATAACATTGGCCCGATTGCGTTCCTACACTGTGAATCGATGTCTGAGTTGATAATTTGTGCGCAAAGAAAAGGTATCTGTTGCTTGATTACTGTCAAAGAATATGAGATGTGTGAGATGGCAATTGATATTACGATGGGTTGATGAGTGAGTGTTTGGCTTACTGCTCCTGTCAAGCCCGAAGAACTCTTGGAAAGTAT